ATGATTTTATATTAATTAAATTAACGTCTGTTTAAATTGTTTGTCCGTTTTTAAGTTGTTGATTTACAAACAAACAAATAACATTAATGTACAAAAACAACAACACTGAGCAGCAGCAGTAGGAGGAGTAATAACAGGTGTATCTTTGTGTTGTCCAGGTGAACTGTGTGTCAGTGTTTCTGTTAGTTTGTAACTAAGTTTGTTTTTTGATTAAGGAACAAAACAGGTAAATATTAAAGGTCAAAACATCACCAGCCAATCAGACTTGTCTTTGGGTCGTCTGTCTCATGATCTGATTTGTTGTGATGCAGCTGTCAATCATCAACTCACCAATCACTTTCATCCAGCCCATGTGTTGACACCTGGACAGGTGTTTGACCAGCTCTTCCATCACTGCAACAGGATCCTCTGAGACAGAGAGGAGAGGATTCTGGGTAATCTACACAATGACATCACTGACCTGTCTCTGTCTCAGATGAACACAAAGACACATGAACACAGAGACAGGTGAACACAGAGACAGGTGAACACAGAGACACATGAACACAGAGACACATGAACACAGAGACAGGTGAACACAGAGACACATGAACACAGAGACAGATGAACACAGAGACAGGTGAACACAGAGACACATGAACACAGAGACACATGAACACAGAGACAGGTGAACACAGAGACAGGTGAACACAGAGACACATGAACACAGAGACAGATGAACACAGAGACAGGTGAACACAGAGACAGATGAACACAGAGACAGATGAACACAGAGACAGGTGAACACAGAGACAGGTGAACACAGAGACAGATGAACACAGAGACAGGTGAACACAGAGACAGGTGAACACAGAGACAGGTGAACACAGAGACAGGTGAACACAGAGACAGGTGAACACAGAGACAGGTGAACACAGAGACAGGTGAACACAGAGACAGGTGAACACAGAGACAGGTGAACACAGAGACAGGTGAACACAGAGACAGGTGAACACAGAGACAGGTGAACACAGAGACAGGTGAACACAGAGACAGGTGAACACAGAGACAGGTGAACACAGAGACAGGTGAACACAGAGACAGGTGAACACAGAGACAGGTGAACACAGAGACAGGTGAACACAGAGACAGGTGAACACAGAGACAGGTGAACACAGAGACAGGTGAACACAGAGACAGGTGAACACAGAGACAGGTGAACACAGAGACAGGTGAACACAGAGACAGGTGAACACAGAGACAGGTGAACACAGAGACAGGTGAACACAGAGACAGGTGAACACAGAGACAGGTGAACACAGAGACAGGTGAACACAGAGACAGGTGAACACAGAGACAGGTGAACACAGAGACAGGTGAACACAGAGACAGGTGAACACAGAGACAGGTGAACACAGAGACAGGTGAACACAGAGACAGGTGAACACAGAGACAGGTGAACACAGAGACAGGTGAACACAGAGACAGGTGAACACAGAGACAGGTGAACACAGAGACAGGTGAACACAGAGACAGGTGAACACAGAGACAGGTGAACACAGAGACAGGTGAACACAGAGACAGGTGAACACAGAGACAGGTGAACACAGAGACAGGTGAACACAGAGACAGGTGAACACAGAGACAGGTGAACACAGAGACAGGTGAACACAGAGACAGGTGAACACAGAGACAGGTGAACACAGAGACAGGTGAACACAGAGACAGGTGAACACAGAGACAGGTGAACACAGAGACAGGTGAACACAGAGACAGGTGAACACAGAGACAGGTGAACACAGAGACAGGTGAACACAGAGACAGGTGAACACAGAGACAGGTGAACACAGAGACAGGTGAACACAGAGACAGGTGAACACAGAGACAGGTGAACACAGAGACAGGTGAACACAGAGACAGGTGAACACAGAGACAGGTGAACACAGAGACAGGTGAACACAGAGACAGGTGAACACAGAGACAGGTGAACACAGAGACAGGTGAACACAGAGACAGGTGAACACAGAGACAGGTGAACACAGAGACAGGTGAACACAGAGACAGGTGAACACAGAGACAGGTGAACACAGAGACAGGTGAACACAGAGACAGGTGAACACAGAGACAGGTGAACACAGAGACAGGTGAACACAGAGACAGGTGAACACAGAGACAGGTGAACACAGAGACAGGTGAACACAGAGACAGGTGAACACAGAGACAGGTGAACACAGAGACAGGTGAACACAGAGACAGGTGAACACAGAGACAGGTGAACACAGAGACAGGTGAACACAGAGACAGGTGAACACAGAGACAGGTGAACACAGAGACAGGTGAACACAGAGACAGGTGAACACAGAGACAGGTGAACACAGAGACAGGTGAACACAGAGACAGGTGAACACAGAGACAGGTGAACACAGAGACAGGTGAACACAGAGACAGGTGAACACAGAGACAGGTGAACACAGAGACAGGTGAACACAGAGACAGGTGAACACAGAGACAGGTGAACACAGAGACAGGTGAACACAGAGACAGGTGAACACAGAGACAGGTGAACACAGAGACAGGTGAACACAGAGACAGGTGAACACAGAGACAGGTGAACACAGAGACAGGTGAACACAGAGACAGGTGAACACAGAGACAGGTGAACACAGAGACAGGTGAACACAGAGACAGGTGAACACAGAGACAGGTGAACACAGAGACAGGTGAACACAGAGACAGGTGAACACAGAGACAGGTGAACACAGAGACAGGTGAACACAGAGACAGGTGAACACAGAGACAGGTGAACACAGAGACAGGTGAACACAGAGACAGGTGAACACAGAGACAGGTGAACACAGAGACAGGTGAACACAGAGACAGGTGAACACAGAGACAGGTGAACACAGAGACAGGTGAACACAGAGACAGGTGAACACAGAGACAGGTGAACACAGAGACAGGTGAACACAGAGACAGGTGAACACAGAGACAGGTGAACACAGAGACAGGTGAACACAGAGACAGGTGAACACAGAGACAGGTGAACACAGAGACAGGTGAACACAGAGACAGGTGAACACAGAGACAGGTGAACACAGAGACAGGTGAACACAGAGACAGGTGAACACAGAGACAGGTGAACACAGAGACAGGTGAACACAGAGACAGGTGAACACAGAGACAGGTGAACACAGAGACAGGTGAACACAGAGACAGGTGAACACAGAGACAGGTGAACACAGAGACAGGTGAACACAGAGACAGGTGAACACAGAGACAGGTGAACACAGAGACAGGTGAACACAGAGACAGGTGAACACAGAGACAGGTGAACACAGAGACAGGTGAACACAGAGACAGGTGAACACAGAGACAGGTGAACACAGAGACAGGTGAACACAGAGACAGGTGAACACAGAGACAGGTGAACACAGAGACAGGTGAACACAGAGACAGGTGAACACAGAGACAGGTGAACACAGAGACAGGTGAACACAGAGACAGGTGAACACAGAGACAGGTGAACACAGAGACAGGTGAACACAGAGACAGGTGAACACAGAGACAGGTGAACACAGAGACAGGTGAACACAGAGACAGGTGAACACAGAGACAGGTGAACACAGAGACAGGTGAACACAGAGACAGGTGAACACAGAGACAGGTGAACACAGAGACAGGTGAACACAGAGACAGGTGAACACAGAGACAGGTGAACACAGAGACAGGTGAACACAGAGACAGGTGAACACAGAGACAGGTGAACACAGAGACAGGTGAACACAGAGACAGGTGAACACAGAGACAGGTGAACACAGAGACAGGTGAACACAGAGACAGGTGAACACAGAGACAGGTGAACACAGAGACAGGTGAACACAGAGACAGGTGAACACAGAGACAGGTGAACACAGAGACAGGTGAACACAGAGACAGGTGAACACAGAGACAGGTGAACACAGAGACAGGTGAACACAGAGACAGGTGAACACAGAGACAGGTGAACACAGAGACAGGTGAACACAGAGACAGGTGAACACAGAGACAGGTGAACACAGAGACAGGTGAACACAGAGACAGGTGAACACAGAGACAGGTGAACACAGAGACAGGTGAACACAGAGACAGGTGAACACAGAGACAGGTGAACACAGAGACAGGTGAACACAGAGACAGGTGAACACAGAGACAGGTGAACACAGAGACAGGTGAACACAGAGACAGGTGAACACAGAGACAGGTGAACACAGAGACAGGTGAACACAGAGACAGGTGAACACAGAGACAGGTGAACACAGAGACAGGTGAACACAGAGACAGGTGAACACAGAGACAGGTGAACACAGAGACAGGTGAACACAGAGACAGGTGAACACAGAGACAGGTGAACACAGAGACAGATGAACACAGAGACAGGTGAACACAGAGACAGGTGAACACAGAGACAGGTGAACACAGAGACAGATGAACACAGAGACAGGTGAACACAGAGACAGGTGAACACAGAGACAGGTGAACACAGAGACAAGTAGATAAAGACCCTGTAGTTCGTGTCCTTAGCTGTTTATCGGTGTCTTCTCATGCTGTAAGAAAACTTGATCTCTCCGCCTGTCTTTTTTACTGGGACCCTCAGGAGGACAAACCTAGTCGTCCACAGGGACCATCAGGACACACCTCACCTGTGTGAGTGTCTCTTGGTGTGTTGTGGTTCTCACGTGCAGTTTAACACCTTAATGGATTTATCAGATAATCACCTGTCGCACTCTCACTGCTGCAAACACACATTCTGATGCTGCTATCAATCTGAGGACCTCTGTTAACATGGTGCATTCCTGTTCCTCCTCACCTTAACCTGAACCTATAGGTTAACCTCAGACATGCCTACTAAACAATATGGAGTTCAAAAATGTCCTCACTCTGTTGGTTTAAAACATATGACGATTCTCACAATGTAGCAAGTACAGGTACACACACACACACACACACACACACACACACACACACAAAGAGGAGGTCAGAGATCAAACAAGAGGTTTTTTTTATTCCAAAGAAAGCTGGCAGCTGATTGGTCAGCTGAACAGAAAAAAAGAACAAAGTCACATAATGAAAACAACCGTTGAACAGGCCAATGGGAGTGGATCACGGTTACCATGGCAGCAAGGAGGAGCTGCACGTTTAAAGTGACAGAGTGAAAGTTTAACGTCTCAGAGACTGTTAGCAATATTAGCATTCCTCATTCAAACCATTGGGCTACGTTAGCTTCAAGCTAACCTTTGATGTCACTAACATTTATTATTTTAGTTTCACAGATCAATCACTGTGATCAGGTGTTTGCATAGATAGTCACCGTGACGATAGTGCAAGAGGACAGCTGACAGGAAACACACTGAATTCTGGGAGGTGGAGGCCAGTTGCAGTTTTTCCTGTCGTTCTTCAGGTGATTAAATATCACAAACAGTCAAACAGGAAGTTTGAAACTTCAGAGGTCACTCAGGCTCCTCCCCCTCCTCACCTGTGTGAACTGCTGAAGTCTGATATTAACTCATATTAACGAGTGTGATGTCACCGTCACCACAAAAAGGCCACACTCACTCAGTGATGTCACAAAAGGTGATGAAACAGATCAGAGGTGTGAAGTGCTTCTTCTGTTCAGGTGCTTCAAACATGACACACATATCCATCTGTCCGTCCAGCAGGGCAGAGCTGTCTGACAGCCGGGGGGGTGGGTGGAGCTACAGGAGCCTCTGACTGTCTCACATGTCAGAGGAAGAGGAAGAAGACGAACAAGAGGATGAAGGAAAGAAATGTGTTTGGTTCTAAACAGCAGAGACACAAACATCTGCAGAACATCCAGAACACTACTGACTGTGTGTGAGTGCATGTGTCTTAGTGTGTGTGTGTGTGTGTGTGTGTATGTGTGTGTGTGTGTGTGTGCACTCGGTCTTTGGCTGAACTTCAACTTTTTGTTCGTTCTTGTCTAACACTGATTTAACAGGCTCATGGTCTGCTTTGATTCCTCCATCATCCAAACTAGCTCTCAGTGAGGACACACATCTGATAGAGGTTTGTGGGGACATTTGGGGTTGTGGGGACATGTGCCTGACACAGGTTTGTGGGGACATTTGGGGTTGTGGGGACATGTGCCTGACACAGGTTTGTGGGGACATGTGGATTACTGTCTCAGATTGAGTACACGGACTGTGGACCAGGTTTGGGGTCTGACACTAACAGGACGTTGTGAGTAGACTGACATTAAAAACAGGATGGATTATCTGTGTTTATGTTTTTGAGAAAATAAAAACAATAACTTAGATTAAAATCTGAACAGGTGATCTATGTGTGATGTGGACCAATCAGCAGCCAGCTGACTGAGGCAGGCTCAGGAGGAGGAGGAGTCAAAGCGTCACATGTGACCTGAGACTCTGTACTAATAAGGTGTTGTCCCCTCCCACTCCAGCAGGTACTGGACCGTCCCCTGAGGAGTGACGCGGCGAGCCAACACCTGGTACCTCTCCCCGTTGGTCAGTCTGCCCGCCACTCCGAAATACGAGGAAATGGAGGAGTGGAGGTGGGATGAGTCAGATAGGAAGTGGGAGGGGTCTGAGGTCAGGTGGTTCGTAGCTTCTTGGTCCTCCAGCATCCCAGAGGGCTCCTCGCCTCCAAGCTCCTCCCCCACCTCGCTGCGATTGGCCCACTGGCTGTAGCTGTTGCTAGGTAACTTCCTTTTCCTGCTGCCCACCCTCCTCCTGAGGACACACAGGTCAAAGGTCACAGAGAGACTTCCTGTTACTGCTGGACATCACTGCCACCATGAAGGATGAAGGTGGAGGATGAAAGTAGAGGACGAAGTTGATGGCTAAAGGTGGATGATGAAGGTTGAGGATAAAGGTGGAGGATGAGGGTGGAGAATGAAGGTAGAGGATGAAAGTGGTGGATGAAGATTGAGGATAAAGGTGGAGGATGATGGTGGAGAATGAAGGTGGAGGATGAAGGTTGAGGATGAAAGTAGAGGATGAAGTTGATGGCTAAAGGTGGATGATGAAGGTTGAGGATAAAGGTGGAGGATGAAGGTAGAGGATGAAGCTGATGGATAAAGGTGGTGGATAAAAGTGGAGGATGAAGATTGAGGATAAAGGTGGAGGATGATGGTGGAAAATGAAGGTGGAGGATGAAGGTTGAGGATGAAGTTGATGGATAAAGGTGGAGGATGAAGATAGAGGATGAAGGTTGAGGGTAAAGGTTGAGGATGAAGGTGGAGAATAAAGGTGGAGAATGAAGGTTGAGGACAAAGGTAGAGGATGAAGATTGAGGATGAAGGTGGAGGATGAAGATTGAGAATAAAGGTGGAGAATGAAGGTGGAGAATGACGGTTGAGGATGAAGGTTGAGGATAAAGATGGAGGATGAAGGTGGAGGATGAAGGTTGAGGATGAAGGTTGAGGATAAAGGTGGAGGATGAAGGTAGAGGATAAAGGTGGAGGATGAAGGTGGAGGACGAGGGTTGAGGATGAAGGTTGAGGACAAAGGTAGAGGATGAAGATTGAGGATAAAGGTGGAGGATGAAGATTGAGGATAAAGGTGGAGAATGAAGGTGGAGAATGAAGATTGAGGGTAAAGGTTGAGGATGAAGGTGGAGAATAAAGGTGGAGGATGAAGGTTGAGGATAAAGGTGGAGAATGAAGGTGGAGGATGGAGAATGAAGGTTGAGGATGAAAGTAGAGGACGAAAGTGGTGGATGAAAGTGGAGGATGAAGATTGAGGATAAAGGTGGAGGATGATGGTGGAGAATGAAGGTGGAGGATGAAGGTTGAGGATGAAAGTAGAGGACGAAGTTGATGGCTAAAGGTGGATAATGAAGATTGAGGATAAAGATGGAGGATGAGGGTGGAGGATGAAGATGGAGGATGAAGTTGATGGATGAAGGTAGAGGATGAAGGTTGAGGATAAAGGCGGATGATGAGGGTTGAGGATAAAAGTGGAGGATAAAGTTGATGGATAAAGGTGGAGGATGAAAGTAGAGGATGAAGATTGAGGATAAAGGTGGAGGATGATGGTGGAGAATGAAGGTGGAGGATGAAGATTGAGGATGAAAGTAGAGGACGAAGTTGATGGCTAAAGGTGGATGATGAAGGTTGAGGAT